GTGTCTGTGTGAGTGGCGTTCAATCTGAGCATGGGAGATTGAAAATCCTTTCATTTGTATTTTATGGCATTGTTGGCTTTTATAGGCATTGCGATGTTTGTTAGCCATCGCAGTAGTTATCACTTTTTATGCGTTTCCTTGATTTATCGGTCTGGTGGAAGGTTCCCACTTTGCCATAAACGATTTCCTTCCTTGCCATGTGTTGATGCTCGTTTGTCGTTTATTGTTGTAATTCTGTTTTTCTTTCTCTCTCACAGCTCGGTCGGGACTTTCACTTTCAAAAAAAAAAAAAAATAACAAAAAAAATGAAAAATAACGCAACAATCAAAAGACATGGCTTGTATTTATGCGTGTAGATGTGTGCTTGTGTGTGTGAGTGCATTGCAAATATTGTTATTTTATTGTCATTGCTCGCAAGCTCTGGCGTACATTTTAAATGTTTGTGCGGCAGCATCATCTATGACAGAGTATCGCTGCAACAACGATTGGCATTTAACAAAATTTGGAAAATCGTGTAAATCGCTTTTGGTTGTCAATTGTGAAGCTTGTTTAGTTTCAAATATTCGTAAATAGTAACGTTGGTCCGGACACACACACACACACACACGAATACACTTACATTAGTTAACTTCGTTAACAATTCATTCCTTCAAATGCAAGAAACTGCCATTCCATTTCACGCACATTCAGCCGACCGGCTGTTTGGCTTGCTGGTCTTTTCCATACATGGCTTACAGTCCGCCCGATAAACAGTGGGACCAATATTATCGAATAAATTGATGATATTGACTGTTCGCACATTGTCTGTCGCCTAATCCCCCCACAAAGTCAAACAATGATGCCTACGTTGACACACGACAAATCCGCGGTAGCAGGTGGTTACATTCGCTATTTGGAATAAGTCAGTGTCGATGAGGTAGTTAGCAACGTGGATGAGCGATATTTCCTGGTTGATGGTGTTAAATATTCGAATTATCAAGTAATCGTTAGCTTGCGATTGCATTCCAAGAGACAGCAGCAGTAGTTCGATGACACCATCAACGCAATGCGAATGCAGTTTGATTCTCATTCAAATAGTGTCCTAGAATTTCAGTATTTTATGAGTTGTCATCTTTTGAAAGCGAGATGTCTTTTTTTTCCATGGGAACATTTAAAAGCGTGTTCTGTAACATTGACGTTTTTAGTTGTGACAATTTTAACAATTACAAATAAGCATGTAATACTGCTACCAGCAATATTCGTAGAGAGCAGTAAAAAATGTTGATGTTCCACGAGCACTTGAAGCCTGCTGTCCCGTCATTTTGCAGTGCATATCGGGGAGAATGAAGTCTATGAGATCGAAGATAGAGATTTAGTGTTTTCGTAACACCCATGTTTTTTGTTTGTATTTTTGTTTTAACATAAAAATTCCGTCTGCCGCGAGTCGGCAAAAGCACGCATCTTTCCGGCATGACAGCTATTTTTATACCCCACAACACTATGTTTTGGAAGTAATATATATTTTATAGGGCTAAAAATTATGTAACAGCTCGAAATATTTGTCCTGCATATAGGAATGTATATATAAATCTTCCTATCTCGCCGAACTGAGTCATTCTAGCTATTTATGTACGTCCGTCTGGCCGTCTGTCCTTGTTAATTTGTAATTACGCAATTGTAACCCGAACTCACGAAATAACCTGATCCTCGCGAAATTGAGCATGGATGTGGGGTTATGTTCAGAATAGAAGCCTAGTGCTTTTGGAGATGATCGCAAAATATTTATTTTTTTTTGATTTTGCACTTGCTCTACAGGCTACAATAATACACCAATCGCCGGAAAGGAACAAAGGAGTTCACATTGATGCAGATAACGAGAAATGGAAAAATTAACTATTTTTTTACATTTCTTAAATTTTTGTCATATTTTACATCCCAAGCTTTATTTTTAATTTGACTTAAAATTTTAAATGGTACATTTTCTAACGTTTTTCTCCACACGGCAACACTATGTGTTGACATACATATCGTAATTATCGTCCGATCCTCACGAAATTTTGCATGGCGGTAGGGCTAGGCCAGAATTGAAGCGTATTGTTTTTGAAGATGTACGTTTGGGGGTCCAAAAAAAAAAAAAACAAATAAATAAATAAATTTTACTGAATTTACAGTCAGTTTTGAAAAAAAAAAACAATCTACATGCAATATTGCATGAAAAAAGTTAAGAGTGAGTTAAGAGCAGGACAAAAGTGTAACATTTTGGATGACTTTTGACTTATATAGTGTAAATATAAAGGGCAAGTACCTCCGGTCAAAACGCAAACGTAACATTTGTGCAGGGATGTATGACATTATTTCAAAAACAAAATCTACCAAAATACCTATTTATTTTTGTATTTCTTTTTCAACCTAAAAATTCCATCTCCCGCGAATCGGCAAAATCAAATACATCTTTCCTATATGGTAGTTATTTTTTTTTTCTAACTTTATTATTCCTTAACAATAATTGGTTGCTTCCTTAGCATCCTTAATTATTAACATTTTCAAAAATACAAATTGTTAATTAAATTTTGCTACTATTTAGTGAAAGGGGCGTTGATAAAAACAAATTGACAGTATTGTTATTGTTAATCAATACTTTGGAATGATGGAATTAATTATGTTCCAATATTACATTCAGTCACAGCGAATTGGATGTTTATTTTTCCGTTTTTGTTTTGGCTTTAATTTTTTGTTTATCAGTTTACGTTGGCATCGCCGACAATTTGTCATCATTCTGAGTCTGTCTCCATCTCTACGACAAGTTCAGTTCATACCCCCTTCCATTGCTTTTTGTGGCGTATTCGTCAATATTGTCGAATGATGATTGTCTGTTTAAATGGTCGACTGTAAGCACATAATGTTTTACTCCATGCTGATGTTGTTTTCGTTGTTTTTTTATGTTAGCTAATATTGTTAAACAAACAATTGCACAAAATGCCAAACATACACACGGTTTGTGGGTTTAAAGCTCATTCAGGGTAAACGCTTGTTAATGGTATTCAATTAAAATATATGCGTTTAAATTCAGCGTTGGAGGGGGAGGAGACTGACACAGACTTTTAAAGAGATACGAAAACGTCATTTGATTTAAATTGCCGTGTCAGTGTCGTAGAGTTGCAGATAATTTTTATGAATTATTAAAGCCAACGATTAGATTAAAATAATCGACAGTTTCTTCTAGATCTGGCTACTTCCAATTCGCATCTTCATTTAAAAATACATCCATTGATATTCATATACAAACTCTGAAGATTTCGTAAATAATCGATATTTATTATTCAGAACTCAATAATGATTATCGGCAATAGGAGATTCTTCCATTAGGGCAAAAGTGACTCAGCTGGTGTCAATAGACCGCAGATAATTCACCACGCTCTTCCAATATTCACCGATATGTATGTAATCTATTAATATATTTTTTGGTACTCATATTGTTGTTGCCATTCGATTCGTTTGTGGATTTAAAAGTCTGTCCGTCCTGCCGCCATTGTTATTTTCATCTCACCAACTCATCGTAGAACCATAAAATCTTTCTGTAAATTGTCATGTATTTGTAAATATTAAATAAAGTAATTAAAAAGATAATTGCCTTTATAAACAAATGGTTATTGATGGGAGTTCAAAGTACGCTGGGTAAAAGTTTCAGGTGTAAAAACAAGTTTCCAAATTCGAATACGACCAGCGAAAGCGAACATTTGAACCTTGAACATACTCAGTGCTATGTCGGTGCTAGAAGCTAAATATGAGATGTTGCCTTTTTTTGAAACAAAAGCAGAAAAACAAATCAAAATAAAATTGTTTGAAATTTAGTTTCAACTATTCCAAATTCAGTGTAATTTTGTACGCAACCTCTCCAAAGAAAACTTCCAGGAAATAACAAAGAATTCGACGGGCAAGTAGGCTAAAATTTTCCATATTCCGGGGCTACAGTTAATTTTCAGTTTCAAAAAGTGAAGATTAGATTTGAAATACTTTAAATCAGGAGTAGCTAACTTTTAGGATCTAAAGAAATCATTGGCAATGAAGCTTTCAAGCCATGAGGAGGACATTGCATTTTTATTACGATTGACAGCAAAACATTGGAATCTAATTCCATATCTTTTCCATACGCATGCTTCATTTCAGTGGATTCTCTTCCATGCCAAAATTTAAACTTAATTACAACGGAGGAATGGATGATTCATTTCCCAAAGGGTTTACCAATAATTTCAACTTAATGAAGCTCCACAAAAATAATGTTCTTAAAGAAAGAACAATATTCGTGATGGCTAGAATTGTCTACAAATTTGTCCTATGTTTGCTATAATAGCAACACTCGTTAATAATTTTGTGAAAATGTGAAAACGTGATGTTTTACCAATAAATTTTTGCTATTTTGGAGTAATGCCAACTGTACTCTCTGTCCAATTGCAAAACATTCCCAACATTTTAAGAAAAACCAATGTGGGAAGAGAATAATCCATGGATGTTTAGTAATTCTCGCGAATTTCCTACAACCGGTGCATTTTGAGGACCAGGTATCAACGGAAATTGGAATTGCGACATTTGATGTTCACTTCTACCTGTTAATCCCCCAATAAAATCAAAGGCATCTAATTTCCACGAATGAGTATGATCGCCAATGTGTATGTTACAGGTAGCATCCGTAGGCACACCCACCCACAGCGAACAGTCGTATAAAGGACCACAGCGGAATTCGAGAAGGACACAGTCTAGTCTTACGTTTCGTTACGATCGTATCTCTTTATCAATCCAAACAGTTTAACTGTAACCAATTTGTCTAACAAATAGAAATCTGCCTAGCAATCATGGTTAACTTTAATCTTAATTTTGAAAAACTTGAAAAGGACATTGAGAAGTTCACGTCAGTCGATGAACGTGAGTGTAATTTTACGAATTTCAATTATTTTTGGTTTTATTCACAAATTGAGTTATTAATTTTGAATTGATTAAATATTTTGTTTCTTCTTTACTTTCAGATCTGCAACTAGCAGCTGAATTGGGCAAAACACTCCTAGAGCGCAATAAAGAACTGGAGACACTTCTGAAGGAGCACAAGCATACCATAGAGGAACAAGAGCAGGAAATTGTGGTAAGTAGAGGGACCAGAGACAAATGCCGATTGTGAGAACTGCCTTGTGCCTCTCCCGTGACACCATTTTATGCTTCATTATTTCGGTCTTCCACTGACGTTGCGTCGTACAAGATCAATTGGTGTTCGACAGAGTTCAGTGCATAAGTAGACCGACCGATCGGCCGACCGAATTCATGCAGAAATGCATACATTTTGGGTGCAACATAAATTGTTTGGGAGAAATACAAATTTGAATGCCAATCAGGCGTATCGCCAACCGCGGCATTCCATAGCCAAAGCGTTCAAAGCGGCACTTCATCAGCAGCCGCAGAAAAAAGGGAAAAGCGAATTCGAAATAGAGTCTAAATTTATCACTTGGTATTTGTTGATTGGTGCCAGATACGATTTGACCCGTTTCTTTTTTGAAAATAGATCGCATTAATTGCATTTGGCATTTCCGTATTGTGCGATCAATCGATCGATCGGTCGACCGAAAGATGATGACTAACTATGCCATCGCTGCCACAAGACATTAATTCGCCTTTTTGTTTTGCTTCTGCTTTTGTTCTTTTGTCTTTCCTCCCCTGCAGTATTTGAAGAAACATACGACAGCGTTGCGTGAAGTGAATGATTCCCGCCTCAAGGTCTACGAACAATTGGAAGTCGGCATACAGGATTTGGAGCGTGCCAATCATCGTTTGCTCGTTGAGAATACAGCCGATAAGAAGCATATCAAAACGTAAGTGCAGCTGTAGCGTTCTTGTATCATTCTTTTGACTTATCATCTACTTTGCCTTTGTTCCAGGCTTTCACATACGATTGAGACTCTCGAGGCACGTTCCGAGGAACTGACGAAACAATTGGATGATGTCCGTCAAGCGCTGACCGCAGAGAAACGTAAAAATGAACGCCTTTTGGCGGAGATGAGTAAAATTGGCGGCGATGCCAATACGGTCAAGTTGAAGCCAACTCTGAACAGGGATGCCGCGGAAAATGAAACAAAATCGCCTCAGCCGGGCTATGACGCCAACACTACAGCGCCAGAAAATTGTAGTTTTACATTCCAATCGCCTGCTGCCCGAAACTCGACGGGCATCAGTGGCACTGATGCAGATAGCTCCTTCGATCTGAGCATGGTTGGTGGCCAAGAGGGCAATGATGAAATTATTAAGCTGGTTAGTGACTTTGAGGCGACCAAGAAAGCCTACCTGGCTGAACAGCAACGTTGTGGTGAATTGGAGGAACAATTAGTAGCCATAAGTAAGTGACTGCGAAAGCCTTAGAAGAAAACGAACGAACAGACACTAATTTCATTACAAACTATTTTCCAGTTCAAGAAAATCAAAATCTCCAAACTCGTATTGCTCAAACCAGTGCCACGGAGGAAATGAAGTCAATGCATGACGAACTTTCCATTTTAGATGAAGTGCGGTAAGTATTAACGACTCGGCTGTCTCTGATATCTCCGAAGTTCTTCCTAACTGACATTATTGTTTTCCCCTCCCCGACAGGCAAGGACAAATGTGCAGCCGCTGTCTTCGCTCGATGGATGACCGCGCCGTTGATGAGCAGTCGTCACTGGCTCCCACAGAAGAATGCGAGGAAGATGAAGAGAATAGCCTCCTGGACATGGAGGGCAGCCGTGCTGGCGACAATGCCAGCGAGCACTCACAGGCGGCCTACCGTTCCAGCATGTCGATCAAGGTGAGAAATTGTTTCTACTTTAAAACACTCTTCTATGGCTTATTGCGAGGTTGACAATGTGATCAAAAACTAATACCCAATCACGGTGTGTTCTCGCTTGCACTTGTTCGTTTCCATAACTCGCTCTCATTTCGTGCACTCGTTTCGGAATCAGACGAACGAAAAGTACCCATACGCTCATAATCGTGCATTATTGATTAACTGTAAATACGTTTTGGTGTTTCCGATCTCATTCCATGTTCTCTTGCCGTGCAAATAACAGTTTTGTTTTGTGGTGGAAAGAATGAGCTCTGCATGGCATCCACATCGCTAAGTGTTGTCTGTACTAAACATTAACGAATGTCGTCGTGTCGCCTAACTCTGTTCTTGTTTAATTGTCTCAAGTTATGTTGAATCCACACATACACACTCGCACACTCACTCTCTCTCTATATCTCTCTTTTTTATCCGTACCCGTATCCGTATCCGTTCCTGTGCCCACCAACTGTGATAATTTTAGTTTAAACTAATCCTGTTTTAGCAAAAAACAAAACACGATGATTTTTTCTATTTCTTTTTGATTTTTCTTCTTTTTGGTTTATTAGGCTAAAACGCAAGTTGGCCCGACCACTTGCCCGATTTGTTCAAACATCAACACTAAGTACCTGCATGAGCAAATGCCAATTTCGTTAGACACGGTCTTGTTAGAACTTTGGCAGAAAGCCGTGAAACGCTTCAGTCTCATGAGTTGGCTGGCGAAAATGCTGCAATGGCCGGCACTAGTTTTAAGCCGTATGATCACCTCCATACCTGACGACGATGACTTTTCGTTGCTCTTCTGACGACAGACAATAGACAAAAGACGCAACGCGACCGACATGTAGGACCGCAACAATTTCTCGTTGTACAACTAATCGTACTTAACGACTGACATACCTGCCGTCTCTCATAACACAAACTAATCGGGTAACATTCCGCTCTAACCGAGTCACAAATAGCGACCGACAATTCACGCGGCAGCGTTCCAAACGTTGTTGACATTTAAAATGTGCCAAGACTTTACATGTATTTGTTTTATTTTTATTTTATTATTTTTTTTAACAAATTTCCAATGTAGACTAATAATCTCTAGTTAGTAGGTCGATCCGTAACGGTGTGTTTTTGTGTGGATAATTTATTATTACTTTTTATGAAGTATTTTTTAGTTTTGTAAAGTAACAAAAGACGTACATATTTATTTTTATACTACTACATACTCATATTTTTGTAGCGAAGTAAGCAAAGCCAAGGGCAAAAAACGTTAAGACAGACTGCTAGACTGCGGGACAGACATCCTTTCTATCCGATCCTCTGCTCCCTTTCAGAAAACCCACCGAAATCTTGCCATTATCATTACATACAAACAAACAAACCATCCCTCGCCATTTCCCCAATCCCAAGTTAATCCCCACAGCCCCTCGATTCCTACGATCCTTTCCGATCCCCTGCCTGTCCACTTGTTCAGTAAAGTGTCCAGTGTTGTTCTCAACGTTTTTCGTTCCGTGCCGTTCCGTTTCTATTCTAATTTATTTTTGAATACATACAAATGTAGAATATGTTGTTTTTGTTTTTGTATCTGAGTTTTCTTTTCTTTCTTTTTTGGTTAACCACGAGAAAGGACAAGTTTTATGTGATATTTAAGTTTGAGAAAGTTCAATAAAAAACTGTTACAATGTTATGGCTGATGTTGTTGGTAATTTCTGCAGTGCATGAGTCCAAGTTTGTATCTACTCACACACGAACACATACATACATACACACACACATACATAACAGAGCTACATTATTTTTTATTTAACAAATATTTATAAAAACCACTCCTTACTTCCGAACTCCCAACTTCCTCTGTTGATTCATAAGGTCCTGTATCAGTCCAATAAGTCACCTTTTCCCTCTCACGTAATCTCTTCTATTGCCCCTTCTTTGCCTCGCTCTCTCTCTTTGCATTTCCTATTGATTATCGCCATCATGAATTGAATTAAAAAACAAAACGGAATTTTCCGAACGAGCCTCTTTCGAACATTGTTAATTTCGTTGCAAACTATAGAAGCATTTGTCAGTGTGGCAAGCGAGTCTTAATAACCGTCTAAACATCCCATCCCCATTACGCAGGTTATGCCTCATCATCCCGACTCTTTGGATTTGCATATTCCCGGCAGTCCGAATCCTTATCGCGACTTGGTGGAGAAGTACGAGGCGCTGCTGGAGGTACAGCGATCGTCGATTGCACGTAAGAACACCAATGGTGGCATGTCTTTGGCCGAGGAGTTCCAGTCGTCCGGCGAGTTCAATCAAACGCAGAAATTGATGTTGCAGGCAGCTCAAGCTGTGGCGTCGGACCACTGCAACACATCGAACAACGGCGATGCGGCCAGTAGCTGCAACGGAAGCATGACAAACGATGGCAAAAGCAATACCAAAGCTGATAAGAACCGCGGCCGGACTCCAACCGAATTCTCTGAGGCCGAGACCTCCTCGTCGGGCTATTCAGATGAGACCAGCAACAAGGCCACGCAGACCGACGAAAGACCCGGCTACTTCCTGTGCTCCATTGGTGATGGCGAAGACTGCAAATTCAGCATCTATGACGATGCCAGTCCAATTGATTCTCGATTCCGTAATCGGCCAGAGTATCGCGAATTGTTTAAGGAAATATTCGCCGTGTTGAAGAAGGCGGCCGAGAACAAGGAGGAAGGTGAAAAACTGCCATTGCTGGATGATACACACCCCGTGGGTGGAAACACAGCTCAAAAGGTCCCACCCGTGACTCCTGCCAACGAAGAACTTCCCGTGGACTTTGGAGATGACAGCCAAAGCATAATTTCATCGGCGGTATCGGAACAGTCGTTTGCCATGTCCGAATGCATCACCAAGTTGGAGCGTAAAACAGCCAAAAAGCACATAATCGAAAAGAATCAGGAGAACAAGCCCCCACTAGCTGCATCAATTTCCCAACTGACTTCGCCAAATGCCAAACAAATCATCGAAAACGGTCGCATCCTGACACCACTTAAACGGGAGCCATTGGATTACCTCGCCGTGGGTGTTGGCATCAAGAAGAAGAATCGCAGAAAGAACCGCAACTTCTCGAGCGACCGCTCCGAATCTCCCCTGGCCCTTCCCACACCACCTCGCATCTTTGTAGCCAGCGGCAAGAAACGCAAGGATGTCCGGCCCTACGTAGAATCTCCCATGGCGTCGAACACGAATCTAAATCAAACTCCACCCAGCAGCTCAAGGGGATCGCGCAGTGCTCCCAAATATGAATGGAATGGCAACTCGATGATAATCTACAATCGAAGTCTTAGTGGCAGAGGAGGTCGTGATGCCGATGTAACCAGCATTCCGTACCGACCAAGCACGGTTTCCCAAGATTTGCACAAGCTCAAGAAACTGGATTTGTCATATGCGGAGGTTTTGAGACGTGCCGATGCCTGCAAGTCCCACAACCAGCAGCAGCATTATCATCACCAGCAACAGTCACAGTCACAACGACGACGAAACCATCGTCACTAAACCAAACAGAGTAAACGAGACAGCAACAGCAATGCAAGAATCCCCCCTTAAGTCTACAACCATCCCCCACCCCAACCCAGTGTTATCTACTGAAAAGTGAAAGTATTAAGTAGGTGTCCCCGTTCACTCTTGCTCCGGCCCGAAATGATTGCATCCGGAGCTTCCATTCGAGGGTGCCCATGCATACCCCATTTCTGTTGCTGGCGCCCAACTCATCATCTGCCATTTATTGTGAACCTATCCCAAATTAGGCTTACAAGGATCAACTCATTTGATTTAAATTTAGTTTTTAATTTGTTTCCGAAACAAGAATGTCCTTTGCGTTTTTTAAAAACCCCTCACCCCTTTTAGCCTTCTCCGACCATCCTCTTTGTTTTATTCTCCTTTTATTATTATTATTTTAAACTAAGTCTAGATTATTGCTTTTAAGTCGTACATGCGCATGTCCTTTCCCTGTATCCTTTCTGAAATTCTGAAATAATTATGAAAAGCCGGCGATGCGTGAAGAGGCATTGAGAACTTGTGGGCTCAGCGCACAACCCCCTACTCCGCATTATTAACATAAAAGATTTATTTTAAATTATATTTTATTTGTATTTTGTAAATATTAAAAACAACCAATCAAAGAAAAAGGAGAAAAAAATTAACATTGAATCGACGTGGATAGTTAAAACACCACTCTCATTCCTGCAGCTCTTCTGTCCTTCCTCTCCATCCACGGATTCAATGAGTGAACTCGGTTCGATTCGATTCAACAAATTTAGCCATAGTTAAAGAAAATAGTCGACAAATAAATTCAACTAAAACTTAAGAAAATGATTTCCTACGGAACTTTTGAATTGACGTTAATTTATTTTCTCTCCGAATGAGACACCCTGAAAACGGCGGACAACTTACTCTCCCCAAGTTGTGACTGGGGCAGAGGCTACTACGAAAATGCGCATAATGAAAATTATGGACAGTTTATATTCCAAATAAAAATAAAACCATAAGACATGAACAAATATGAATTAATTAGATAATATAAAAGATGTCTGGATGTTTTATTGTTCTGTGGCGCAGCGTGGCGTGGGTAAGTAGTAAAGGGGGCCGGACCAACGGAAATGGCTTGATGCGAGTAAGTATTGCAATCTGTAAATGTTATTCTACGACTTGTTTATATGCACTATGTTTGTTGGGTACATAATGGCAAAAGAGGGGCTATATCTTTTCTAGCCGAAGTTAAGAGAATTTTAGTCATTATGTAACACAAAATGTTTAAAGTATGATTTGTACAGAATCCACATTTATGAACCTTTTACTTGAACTATCTTGTCCAGCGAAATAGTACTTTTCTGTATGGATGCCTATTAATAAGCATATTAATTAATTTTAGTAGCAAGGATAAAATTCCGTGCTCAATAGGTTCAAAAACATATAGTGACGCAACCAGAAATGCATTTCGAAACTATTCTGAGGGAGGATCCCGGAAATTAGCCCCATGCCTATGTCGCTTGTATCATAGTCCAGATCTATTCCAAAAATGGTAGAGAGCGCGAAATGTGGCTAAACTTCGGCGTGAAATAACTAATTAACCTAAATGTAGTAGGCAGCAGAGTAATAAAAGCTAAAACAGATTGTTGCAAAACCCGGAAATCGGGGAACCCAATCCAAAATTTGGTGAAAACACAGAAAAGGAGAAACATCTAAAATTATAAAATTTATATTCATAATTTGGAAATTTAATAGGGTCACTTGTAGTCATTATAAAATTATTTATTTTATTTAAATAAAATAATATACCTCTATTTAAATGTAAATACCATGGTTATTTGGATGGTAGATTTATTTGTCCATTTGACATCTCATTGTAAAAATACTCATAAATCCATTGTATATACACAATACTCAGAGATGGGAACTTGTTTTCTATTCAGTTATACAGTGAAATCTCCCAACGGTGGACCGAAATTTGTCCATTGTAAGGAGATGTCCGCCTGCGGGAGTTTAAATGACAACCATTTAAAATAAAAATATAAATATATAAGAAAATAAAATATAAATAAATAAAATAAATTAATTCTCAGGTACACATATTACGATTTGTTCAAACATACATACATACAGTTCTAAAGAACTTTTTTAGATTTTATTCGTTCCGACGCAAGTTTGCTTGTTATTCATTAACAGAACGATTAAATTAAAATTCAATTTAGTAGATAAGAAAAGATGAAAGAAAACTTAGGTCGATTTTGACGTTAAATTAGAGTAGACATTTTCCTCCAAACTAAAGCTAATGGAAGATTTGTATCTTGTATAATTTTTCTCATGAATTTGTAATTAATTGTGTAATTTGTAACAGATTCCTGAAGATCGTTGTCGTTGACAATCGAAATATTGGAAAAAATTAGGAGAAAAAGGAAACAAATGAATAAAATTGTTTTATTGGCCTTTAGTCGAACAAACGTATTAAAATCTACCGGGTCAAAAAAAGTAACAACAGTACTTCTCAATAATTTTTACCATTAGATCTTTCTTTCCTCTATAAAAGTTTTTATTTCACATTTTCCCACTACTAGATTTGGGCCCCATTAAGGTAGTGGCCTGAATCATTATTTTTACGATTAAAATTGCATATGGCACTTCATTTGACAGTTGAAATGATTTTGGAGTAGCATATTTTAAGGATAATAAAAATATATTTATTTTGGCTTTAACCGACTCATGATGTGTTTTCTGTAAATTACGGATTTGTTCCAATAATTCAAAGATAAGTAACAATTGAAATAGTAAGACATTGCATGCTTTTGGGCGCTTGGAATGGTGCTATTGTCGTACAGATGGACAAAGTCACAAAAACAATGTAGGGTGGTACCATAAGGGTTATAAAACGTGGACCTGCACAGACAATTTTCTGGCATAGGCTGTAGTATCCATTACGAACTTCAAATACAAAATGTGAAATAATTCCGGTAAATAATGTCGCTAAAATCATCAAAATACCGAATATCGGGTGTTCCGTTATATGGGGGCTATACGAAGACGTGGACCCGCACAGACAATTTTATTTCATAGGCTGAAGTATCCATTACGAACTTTAAATACTAAATTTGAAACAGTTCCGATAAATAATGTCTCTAAAATCATCAAAATACCCAATATCGGGAGGTACCGTTGTATGGGATCTATACGAAGACGTGGACCAACATGGCTCATTTTCTGTCTTGGGATGTAGAATCCATTACGAACTTTAAATACCAATTTTGAAACAATTCCGGTAAATAATGTCGCTAAAACCATCAAAATACCGCATATCTGGAGGTACCGTTATATGGGGCTATAAGAAGACGTGGACCTACATGGCCCATTTTCAATACCTGCAGACATAATACACATTTGAATAAAATTTTATCAACCTACTTCATTTCGTTCGGAAGCTAGACTGATTTACACAGACGGACAGACATTCCTAATCCACATAGAATTTTATGCTGATCAAAAATATATATACTTTGTGGGGTCTAAAATGTATATTTGGAGGTGTTACAAACGGAATGACAAACTTAATATACCCTCCATACAATGGTGGAGGGTATGAAAAACGGAAATTAATAAAAACAGATTTTTTGCAATAATTGTTTTCACACATTAAACATTAAACTTTTCTCCCATAGCGAAATATCGATTTTATAGATGTTTAGCGTTCCAATTACCGAGTGTTAAATTTGAATTAGAATTGTCACGAATTCGAAAGCACGATTTTTTGCTTTTAAAAATTGCTCTGTTTTTTCTGGCAGGTTTTGAACAGAGCAAGTGTTACAATTTTGCTTTTAAGCCCCACGGTACAGGGTATTATGTCTTTGTGCATTAGTTTGCAACATGCAGTAGGAAACGAAATTGATCCATATTTCGATTTATGCATGTTCGTCCGTTTGTCCATGATTTTTGTAAACAAAGTACAGGTCGCTTATATTTTCCACAAATCGTTTGTGATGCCCAAATACGAACCCCTAGCTCTCATATATATGTTCATCTCATTTCAATTTTATTGTGCGCCATATGTATAATATTCGTACAGCTTCCATACATATGTTTCATTAGACTTGGCGTTTGAGTAGCTCCATTCGTAATATGCACTCCACACCAATGATATTTGCTACCAGATATTAGATAAAGCCCAGAAATACCTCTCTCAAATTTCAGCTTTGGATATAGTTCCCATATAAATATATTTATATGATTTCAGGTTTATTGCTTACCAAATATGAACATCAGCACAAATAGGATCGGCTTTGCACATTTAACCGAATTTTTCAATTTGATGAAACCTGTTTCCCATCAGAGGCCTGTTGAACTACTCATTACGGAACGATCATCTCGCGTGAGTCGGATTAGTTTGATTCTTATTTGAGGAGTGAGTGAGTGATAAAGGAGAGGAGTGATAAAAATTAAAACGGAAAATATCGAATCTGGGCGAGGTCATGACTTGTAATATTTCTAAGCATTTCACAGTCGACATTAATTAAAATGGCAGAAGTAGTGTCAATTTTATTTCAGTGGTTTATTTCTAGAAAAAGGAAGTAGGAAAAGGATCCCATCAATGGTATTTAATAAACAAATATTTTTTAATATTTTTTTTTTGATTTTACAATATCAGCAAAGATTTTTCACACAAAACTTCGACCTTTTCGTTTACTAGACAGCGTATAGTTTCGGATAAACTCTCGCAATTTTCTTTTATTTCAAATAAGTCAAAATGCACCGACAGATCGTGTGGTGATGGAAATATTGAGATGTACCAAGTCTGGAATGGAATCTGATGTTACTTTCGCTTTTTATGAGCTTCATGGATATTCAAAATTTTGAGCCTTCGTGGGGGAGGTACCAAAAGAGATCTTATGTTAGCAAAAATGTTTCTGTGTGTGAAATATTAAGAGAACCTGGTGCCTATTTCGAATTTTATAAACGTTTTGGTTTTTGGGAATTTCTATTATTGCTTTCTTTTCTGTGCAATATTTTGAATAATTATATCATTTATTAAATGCGAAATAAGCAGCCGTTTCCTTCCCAGCTTTATACATCGCCATATTATTATACCCTCAGCCATATGGCTACAGAGAAAAAATATTTTCTGTGTAAAAAGCGAAACGATAATTCGATTTTGCTCTAACTTCTATCAGTTCTAGGTCAGGTGTGAAAATTGAAATTCGGTCCACTCCATCAAGTACCTCCCCCACAAATGGTAAACATTTTGAATAATTACAACTCTTATAAAATGTGATGTAAGTGTCCGATTGTCTTCAAATTTCACACATCCCAATATTTTTATTAACCCAAGGTCTGGCGTAAAGGTTGAATATATTGGTCCACTCCTTCTGCTACCTCCCCCACAAAAGGTCGACAATTCCAAAAAATATATTTTCTATACAGAAAGAGAAAGCATAACCTGATTTTGCTCCAACTTTGCAAATCTTAATATTTGCATCAGTGTTAGGTCAGGAGCGAAAATGGACAATATCGGTCCACTCCATCAAGTACCTCACCTACAAAATTTTGAATAATTAAAACTCTAATAAAGTGTGATGGAAGAGTCCGATTGTCTTCAATTTTCACACATCCCATTATTTCTATTAACACAAGATCTGTTGTGAAGATGGGATACATCGATCCACTCCTTCTGGTACCTTCCCCACAGAGGCTCAAAATTTTAAATATTCATGAAGCTTATAAAACGCGAAATTAACATTCGATTCCATATATTATAAAGATGGAAAAAATCGGTCCATATCTGCCCACATAGGGTTTAAGATTTTGCAGAACAAAACGCTTAAAGAAAGCGAAATAAGCATCCAACTCTCTTCAAGTTTCACACACACAAACATTATTGATGATATATATCTGTGAACCCCTTCTGGTACTTCACCCATAAATGGTCAACATTTTCAATAATTTTATCTATGAAAACTTGCGAAACAAGACAGCGATTCTTTACAACTTGCTATATCTAAATATTTCTCTCAACCACAAACCTGAGATGAACATGGAATTTATGATTTCGCATAGAATTGGATATAAATTGCCCATACCAATATTTTATTGCCCATATCAATATTTTATTGCCCATACCAATATTTTATCTTTATTAGATGAAGTATGAAAAGGGAAACTTCAGTCGACTCTATCTTCTATCTCATATAAGGTGAATGAAGTAACAAAAATATAGTCCAAACCTGACACGTCGCAATATTTATATCATATTTATTTAGGTCCGATACGAAATGGTCAATATTGGGCTATTACTTCGGAACCTATGCAATAGAGGGTCAACAATTTGAATGATAAAACAGAATTCAAAATATATTTAAATAATCGAACATTGGCTGAGGGTTTACATCTGTCGGCAAAACTGACTGATACTTTTTAACTTGTTTTGTATTAAAGAAATGAATGATACAAAAGACGGGAGTGTTTATAATTGGAAAATTAAGAAGTTAAAAAGAAAACAAAAGAAATACTTACCAAAAGAAATATACTGCCTGTTGAGGCGTATTCCATACTGTTGCTGTTTATTGTTGCTATGCTGTGAAAAGATAATTTTTATACACTCCACTTTAGTATAGAGGGTATATTAAATTTGTCACAAATTATATATTCTTGATCCTATACCTCCTGTACCTCTCTATATTCGTTGTTTTTACGATTTTAGAGACTTTATTCACCAGAAAAGTTTAAAATTTCGTATTGTAACTTCCTAAAGGTACTACAGTATGTGACAGAAAATTGCGTTTGCAGGTCCAGGTATCAGTAAGGCCCCCATATACCGGTACCACCCTATAATCAGAATTTTGATATTTACAGTTTCGTATTTGAATATTGCAATGGCATATTACAAAATTTGCCTATGCAGGTCCTTTCTTCGTAAAGTCCCCCATATACAGTATTTTTATGATTTCAACATTATTTTCAGCTTTTTTTGACAATTTCCAAATTTCGGCTTAAAAAATTGTTGTTCGTCTATTAGTTTGTAAAAACGCCAAGTTTTACTCGATATATTTTGCTATTTTGGAGTAATGCCAACTGTACTCTCTGTCCAATTGCAAAACATTCCCAACATTTTAAGAAAAACCAATGTGGGAAGAGAATAATCCATGGATGTTTAGTAATTCTCGCGAATTTCCTACAACCGGTGCATTTTGAGGACCAGGTATCAACGGAAATTGGAATTGCGACATTTGATGTTCACTTCTACCTGTTAATCCCCCAATAAAATCAAAGGCATCTAATTTCCACGAATGAGTATGATCGCCAATGTGTATGTTACAGGTAGCATCCGTAGGCACACCCACCCACAGCGAACAGTCGTATAAAGGACCACAGCGGAATTCGAGAAGGACACAGTCTAGTCTTACGTTTCGTTACGATCGTATCTCTTTATCAATCCAAACAGTTTAACTGTAACCAATTTGTCTAACAAATAGAAATCTGCCTAGCAATCATGGTTAACTTTAATCTTAATTTTGAAAAACTTGAAAAGGACATTGAGAAGTTCACGTCAGTCGATGAACGTGAGTGTAATTTTACGAATTTCAATTTATTTTTGGTTTTATTCACAAATTGAGTTATTAATTTTGAATTGATTAAATATTTTGTTTCTTCTTTACTTTCAGATCTGCAACTAGCAGCTGAATTGGGCAAAACACTCCTAGAGCGCAATAAAGAACTGGAGACACTTCTGAAGGAGCACAAGCATACCATAGAGGAACAAGAGCAGGAAATTGTGGTAAGTAGAGGGACCAGAGACAAATGCCGATTGTGAGAACTGCCTTGTGCCTCTCCCGTGACACCATTTTATGCTTCATTATTTCGGTCTTCCACTGACGTTGCGTCGTACAAGCGCCGTCAAGATCAATTGGTGTTCGACAGAGTTCAGTGCATAAGTAGACCGACCGATCGGCCGACCGAATTCATGCAGAAATGCATACATTTTGGGTGCAACATAAATTGTTTGGGAGAAATACAAATTTGAATGCCAATCAGGCGTATCGCCAACCGCGGCATTCCATAGCCAAAGCGTTCAAAGCGGCACTTCATCAGCAGCCGCAGAAAAAAGGGAAAAGCGAATTCGAAATAGAGTCTAAATTTATCACTTGGTATTTGTTGATTGGTGCCAGATACGATTTGACCCGTTTCTTTTTTGAAAATAGATCGCATTAATTGCATTTGGCATTTCCGTATTGTGCGATCAATCGATCGATCGGTCGACCGAAAGATGATGACTAACTATGCCATCGCTGCCACAAGACATTAATTCGCCTTTTTGTTTTGCTTCTGCTTTTGTTCTTTTGTCTTTCCTCCCCTGCAGTATTTGAAGAAACATACGACAGCGTTGCGTGAAGTGAATGATTCCCGCCTCAAGGTCTACGAACAATTGGAAGTCGGCATACAGGATTTGGAGCGTGCCAATCATCGTTTGCTCGTTGAGAATACAGCCGATAAGAAGCATATCAAAACGTAAGTGCAGCTGTAGCGTTCTTGTATCATTCTTTTGACTTATCATCTACTTTGCCTTTGTTCCAGGCTTTCACATACGATTGAGACTCTCGAGGCACGTTCCGAGGAACTGACGAAACAATTGGATGATGTCCGTCAAGCGCTGACCGCAGAGAAACGTAAAAATGAACGCCTTTTGGCGGAGATGAGTAAAATTGGCGGCGATGCCAATACGGTCAAGTTGAAGCCAACTCTGAACAGGGATGCCGCGGAAAATGAAACAAAATCGCCTCAGCCGGGCTATGACGCCAACACTACAGCGCCAGAAAATTGTAGTTTTACATTCCAATCGCCTGCTGCCCGAAACTCGACGGGCATCAGTGGCACTGATGCAGATAGCTCCTTCGATCTGAGCATGGTTGGTGGCCAAGAGGGCAATGATGAAATTATTAAGCTGGTTAGTGACTTTGAGGCGACCAAGAAAGCCTACCTGGCTGAACAGCAACGTTGTGGTGAATTGGAGGAACAATTAGTAGCCATAAGTAAGTGACTGCGAAAGCCTTAGAAGAAAACGAACGAACAGACACTAATTTCATTACAAACTATTTTCCAGTTCAAGAAAATCAAAATCTCCAAACTCGTATTGCTCAAACCAGTGCCACGGAGGAAATGAAGTCAATGCATGACGAACTTTCCATTTTAGATGAAGTGCGGTAAGTATTAACGACTCGGCTGTCTCTGATATCTCCGAAGTTCTTCCTAACTGACATTATTGTTTTCCCCTCCCCGACAGGCAAGGACAAATGTGCAGCCGCTGTCTTCGCTCGATGGATGACCGCGCCGTTGATGAGCAGTCGTCACTGGCTCCCACAGAAGAATGCGAGGAAGATGAAGAGAATAGCCTCCTGGACATGGAGGGCAGCCGTGCTGGCGACAATGCCAGCGAGCACTCACAGGCGGCCTACCGTTCCAGCATGTCGATCAAGGTGAGAAATTGTTTCTACTTTAAAACACTCTTCTATGGCTTATTGCGAGGTTGACAATGTGATCAAAAACTAATACCCAATCACGGTGTGTTCTCGCTTGCACTTGTTCGTTTCCATAACTCGCTCTCATTTCGTGCACTCGTTTCGGAATCAGACGAACGAAAAGTACCCATACGCTCATAATCGTGCATTATTGATTAACTGTAAATACGTTTTGGTGTTTCCGATCTCATTCCATGTTCTCTTGCCGTGCAAATAACAGTTTTGTTTTGTGGTGGAAAGAATGAGCTCTGCATGGCATCCACATCGCTAAGTGTTGTCTGTACTAAACATTAACGAATGTCGTCGTGTCGCCTAACTCTGTTCTTGTTTAATTGTCTCAAGTTATGTTGAATCCACACATACACACTCGCACACTCACTCTCTCTCTATATCTCTCTTTTTTATCCGTACCCGTATCCGTATCCGTTCCTGTGCCCACCAACTGTGATAATTTTAGTTTAAACTAATCCTGTTTTAGCAAAAAACAAAACACGATGATTTTTTCTATTTCTTTTTGATTTTTCTTCTTTTTGGTTTATTAGGCTAAAACGCAAGTTGGCCCGACCACTTGCCCGATTTGTTCAAACATCAACACTAAGTACCTGCATGAGCAAATGCCAATTTCGTTAGACACGGTCTTGTTAGAACTTTGGCAGAAAGCCGTGAAACGCTTCAGTCTCATGAGTTGGCTGGCGAAAATGCTGCAATGGCCGGCACTAGTTTTAAGCCGTATGATCACCTCCATACCTGACGACGATGACTTTTCGTTGCTCTTCTGACGACAGACAATAGACAAAAGACGCAACGCGACCGACATGTAGGACCGCAACAATTTCTCGTTGTACAACTAATCGTACTTAACGACTGACATACCTGCCGTCTCTCATAACACAAACTAATCGGGTAACATTCCGCTCTAACCGAGTCACAAATAGCGACCGACAATTCACGCGGCAGCGTTCCAAACGTTGTTGACATTTAAAATGTGCCAAGACTTTACATGTATTTGTTTTATTTTTATTTTATTATTTTTTTTAACAAATTTCCAATGTAGACTAATAATCTCTAGTTAGTAGGTCGATCCGTAACGGTGTGTTTTTGTGTGGATAATTTATTATTACTTTTTATGAAGTATTTTTTAGTTTTGTAAAGTAACAAAAGACGTACATATTTATTTTTATACTACTACATACTCATATTTTTGTAGCGAAGTAAGCAAAGCCAAGGGCAAAAAACGTTAAGACAGACTGCTAGACTGCGGGACAGACATCCTTTCTATCCGATCCTCTGCTCCCTTTCAGAAAACCCACCGAAATCTTGCCATTATCATTACATACAAACAAACAAACCATCCCTCGCCATTTCCCCAATCCCAAGTTAATCCCCACAGCCCCTCGATTCCTACGATCCTTTCCGATCCCCTGCCTGTCCACTTGTTCAGTAAAGTGTCCAGTGTTGTTCTCAACGTTTTTCGTTCCGTGCCGTTCCGTTTCTATTCTAATTTATTTTTGAATACATACAAATGTAGAATATGTTGTTTTTGTTTTTGTATCTGAGTTTTCTTTTCTTTCTTTTTTGGTTAACCACGAGAAAGGACAAGTTTTATGTGATATTTAAGTTTGAGAAAGTTCAATAAAAAACTGTTACAATGTTATGGCTGATGTTGTTGGTAATTTCTGCAGTGCATGAGTCCAAGTTTGTATCTACTCACACACGAACACATACATACATACACACACACATACATAACAGAGCTACATTATTTTTTATTTAACAAATATTTATAAAAACCACTCCTTACTTCCGAACTCCCAACTTCCTCTGTTGATTCATAAGGTCCTGTATCAGTCCAATAAGTCACCTTTTCCCTCTCACGTAATCTCTTCTATTGCCCCTTCTTTGCCTCGCTCTCTCTCTTTGCATTTCCTATTGATTATCGCCATCATGAATTGAATTAAAAAACAAAACGGAATTTTCCGAACGAGCCTCTTTCGAACATTGTTAATTTCGTTGCAAACTATAGAAGCTTTTGTCAGTGTGGCAAGCGAGTCTTAATAACCGTCTAAACATCCCATCCCCATTACGCAGGTTATGCCTCATCATCCCGACTCTTTGGATTTGCATATTCCCGGCAGTCCGAATCCTTATCGCGACTTGGTGGAGAAGTACGAGGCGCTGCTGGAGGTACAGCGATCGTCGATTGCACGTAAGAACACCAATGGTGGCATGTCTTTGGCCGAGGAGTTCCAGTCGTCCGGCGAGTTCAATCAAACGCAGAAATTGATGTTGCAGGCAGCTCAAGCTGTGGCGTCGGACCACTGCAACACATCGAACAACGGCGATGCGGCCAGTAGCTGCAACGGAAGCATGACAAACGATGGCAAAAGCAATACCAAAGCTGATAAGAACCGCGGCCGGACTCCAACCGAATTCTCTGAGGCCGAGACCTCCTCGTCGGGCTATTCAGATGAGACCAGCAACAAGGCCACGCAGACCGACGAAAGACCCGGCTACTTCCTGTGCTCCATTGGTGATGGCGAAGACTGCAAATTCAGCATCTATGACGATGCCAGTCCAATTGATTCTCGATTCCGTAATCGGCCAGAGTATCGCGAATTGTTTAAGGAAATATTCGCCGTGTTGAAGAAGGCGGCCGAGAACAAGGAGGAAGGTGAAAAACTGCCATTGCTGGATGATACACACCCCGTGGGTGGAAACACAGCTCAAAAGGTCCCACCCGTGACTCCTGCCAACGAAGAACATCCCGTGGACTTTGGAGATGACAGCCAAAGCATAATTTCATCGGCGGTATCGGAACAGTCGTTTGCCATGTCCGAATGCATCACCAAGTTGGAGCGTAAAACAGCCAAAAAGCACATAATCGAAAAGAATCAGGAGAACAAGCCCCCACTAGCTGCATCAATTTCCCAACTGACTTCGCCAAATGCCAAACAAATCATCGAAAACGGTCGCATCCTGACACCACTTAAACGGGAGCCATTGGATTACCTCGCCGTGGGTGTTGGCATCAAGAAGAAGAATCGCAGAAAGAACCGCAACTTCTCGAGCGACCGCTCCGAATCTCCCCTGGCCCTTCCCACACCACCTCGCATCTTTGTAGCCAGCGGCAAGAAACGCAAGGATGTCCGGCCCTACGTAGAATCTCCCATGGCGTCGAACACGAATCTAAATCAAACTCCACCCAGCAGCTCAAGGGGATCGCGCAGTGCTCCCAAATATGAATGGAATGGCAACTCGATGATAATCTACAATCGAAGTCTTAGTGGCAGAGGAGGTCGTGATGCCGATGTAACCAGCATTCCGTACCGACCAAGCACGGTTTCCCAAGATTTGCACAAGCTCAAGAAACTGGATTTGTCATATGCGGAGGTTTTGAGACGTGCCGATGCCTGCAAGTCCCACAACCAGCAGCAGCATTATCATCACCAGCAACAGTCACAGTCACAACGACGACGAAACCATCGTCACTAAACCAAACAGAGTAAACGAGACAGCAACAGCAATGCAAGAATCCCCCCTTAAGTCTACAACCATCCCCCACCCCAACCCAGTGTTATCTACTGAAAAGTAAATAAATTAAGTAGGTGTCCCCGTTCACTCTTGCTCCGGCCCGAAATGATTGCATCCGGAGCTTCCATTCGAGGGTGCCCATGCATACCCCATTTCTGTTGCTGGCGCCCAACTCATCATCTGCCATTTATTGTGAACCTATCCCAAATTAGGCTTACAAGGATCAACTCATTTGATTTAAATTTAGTTTTTAATTTGTTTCCGAAACAAGAATGTCCTTTGCGTTTTTTAAAAACCCCTCACCCCTTTTAGCCTTCTCCGACCATCCTCTTTGTTTTATTCTCCTTTTATTATTATTATTTTAAACTAAGTCTAGATTATTGCTTTTAAGCCGTACATGCGCATGTCCTTTCCCTGTATCCTTTCTGAAATTCTGAAATAATTATGAAAAGCCGGCGATGCGTGAAGAGGCATTGAGAACTTGTGGGCTCAGCGCACAACCCCCTACTCCGCATTATTAACATAAAAGATTTATTTTAAATTATATTTTATTTGTATTTTGTAAATATTAAAAACAACCAATCAAAGAAAAAGGAGAAAAAAATTAACATTGAATCGACGTGGATAGTTAAAACACCACTCTCATTCCTGCAGCTCTACTGTCCTTCCTCTCCATCCACGGATTCAATGAGTGAACTCGGTTCGATTCGATTCAACAAATTTAGCCATAGTTAAAGAAAATAGTCGACAAATAAATTCAACTAAAACTTAAGAAAATGATTTTCTACGGAACTTTTAAATTGACGTTAATTTATTTTCTCTCCGAATGAGACACCCTGAAAACGGCGGACAACTTACTCTCCCCAAGTTGTGACTGGGGCAGAGGCTACTACGAAAATGCGCATAATGAAAATTATGGACAGTTTATATTCCAAATAAAAATAAAACCATAAGACATGAACAAATATGAATTAATTAGATAATATAAAAGATGTCTGGATGTTTTATTGTTCTGTGGCGCTGCGTGGCGTGGGTAAGTAGTAAAGGGGGCCGGACCAACGGAAATGGCTTGATGCGAGTAAGTATTGCAACCTATTGTTGATATGAGGTATTTATGAAAGACATGCGAATGGAGGGGATTGAATTATAATAAAACAGATGAAGGTTAATTAACACTCTTTACGCGATATTTAAATTATTGCTAGCTTATGCCCAATTATGAAGAGCGATATCAATTTTCTTGAGAACCAAAGAGGCTGTTTCTGTTGGACGTTTCGAAAGTGAATCGGAAAGAAAAACCTCTTTACAAATGAGTTTTTTATTTTTTCTGTTTTAAATCATAAGTTTGAAAACAATGGGATTTTTCTTTTGCATTCAGTTTTGCTTCAACATACAGAAACAGGCCATACAGGTCTCTAATCAAGAATTTGAGCATGAAAAACGGGAATTTTGTAGCTTTCCTATCTAGGAAGTCAGAACAATATATTGCGAAGCAAATAAAAATTCAAGATTAGTGGTAGATTAGTACTTACTCACCAAACAAAAACGCAGCAGGTTGAGGCCTCTTCCATATGTTTGTTGTTCGCTATTGCTATTCTGTGAAAAGATCCTCTTTTCTTTATCTTTGCCTACTTACTGATCTCAAATTTAAATGATTTTATATCTGTATATCCACAGATATGGAATATTTCTTGGATTTTGATGGGACCTTTTCAAATGAACTGCTGCATAAATTGATTAACATCGTCTCGATGGTGAATTCCTGGTGACAAGAGTGTGTTATCCAAGTAGGGCTTCATTTTCCTGTCTGTACTAGTTTGGACCTTATCTAGTACAAACAAGATACAATTGTCATATACCCTACACTATGGTGGAGGAGAATCGTCTTTTTAATAACATTTCATAAAACGAATGCGAATAATGGCTTACAATGAACACCAACGCATAGCCCTTGTAAGGGCGTGAAAACAACAGACCACGAAAAGTCCTGCATGTTGTGTGTGGAATTGCTAATGGGTGGTCAGCTAAGAACATGGCTACACAAATCACTGGCTTTATATTCTCGTTTCTAACAATGTTTACATGTAGATGGCAATGTAAATGTATTTATGGGCATCTGTGTGTGTGTGTGTGGATGTATCTGCTAATGTGAAAGGGGTGTTAGTTCAGCCACGAACATACAGAAGGCTGCAACAACACACATACACACGAAGGACATTTATGAATATTCCACACGGGATAAACATTCTGGCATCCGTAAATAACATCATCAAGTTCTACTTTCGCTTAGCATGTGGCTTCACAGGGACAGTGAGAAACAAAACATCAGCCACGACGTGTTGTGAATATTCAGTTGATATGAATTAATGAAGTTGGCGAAATTGGAATAAGCTCTATATAATTTATAAGCCCCGTCATGTTGCGACTGTACGGCTGCACGAAAGCCGAAATTCATTGAGGTTGTTATATGGACAGTTATTGTCCTGGTCAAATCCGCAGTCATATGGTATGGACAATTTTACCTCTATCATGGCACAAGAATAGAGGTTGTCTCATTACATTATGGGGGCGTTGGCATGTTTTTGAGGAAAAAACATTTTTTGTAGTCAGTCATTTGAATACAAAATTAATGAAACTATATTTTTGCCGGACGCGTATTAAAGCTATTCGCCAGTTTTGCCATGGAATTATAATATCGAACAGTTTAGATCATATTTTTGAAAGAAAGTCCGGGTATTTCTTTCTGATTTTAAAAATGAGGAAAAATGTCGAACAAATGGGAACAAACTTGTTTCACGTAATTTTGACAGAAAGCGGGCATAGCTTCAGGGCTGTTCTACCATGATACAATCTATGAAATATAAATTGAAAATGTTCTCCATCTTGTGCTTAGAGGCAAAAACAATGGTTCTTTTCCAGAACCTGCGGGAATGTAAACATGTAACTACGGCAGCCGTTTTTCGCTTAATGAGATCGGAACAAATTGCAAATCAAGTAGATTCTTGAAAAGATCAAACATTGCATTCAGTTCGAAATTTCCGCATTATATGTACTGTAAAAATAAATTGTAATATTAGATATTCAATCGAGAGAACAATATTCATAATTTAGTAGTAGTTGTGGGATCTTATTCAAATAATAACAGTTATAATATGCACTTCTGTGTTTTCTGTAAATTAACTTCTGAAATTGTACTTCATTGAAAGGTAGAATTATCGGGGTAGCGTGATTTAAAAAAAATCATACCTAATACAGGCCCAGATGTTAAGGTGTTGCATAATAAATCTATTCATTTTTGTTTGCAACTGTAAACCGGCCACCACGCACATGAAGGCCAACCATTATGTCGTCGTTATCAGTGTCCGCGTGTTCTGGCAGTTGATGCTTGTATTTTCATGTTGTGCCAAGCTATGTTCCATTGTAGTCGATTTAAGCTTATCACAAACGAGACCATATAAATTTTTGTCGCTTGAGACCACTCACATACACTCGCAGGACACAGGTCATTCGTTCAAGTACGTACGTAGGTACGTACGTATGTGTGTGTATGAATGTAAATACATTGTGGGGATATCGGGAATGCATTTTATTGTCATTCACAAACAACCTAATACGATACTGTTAGCCTGTTAATTATGTATCGGATGGAACGCTTAATTTGCAACCCACCGCCATCATAATCATCAAATTTTTATAGAAGTAACCGAGGGTTGTTACCATCATATCTCCCTCACATTTAGAGTGGCATAACTGAAAAAAATGAATATTTTGTTTTAGCAATTTATACTTTTCTAAGAATTTTACTTTACTTTTCAAATTTTACTTGTTTCAAATTTCGTATTGGAAGATCTTAATGGGTGCTACAACCTATGACCAAAAAATACTTATGCAGGTCCTCGTCTTCGTGTAGCCCCCGAACGATAACCGATTTTTTTATAATATCGAAAAAAGAAATGTAAAACTAGTAGATTCTATTCCTTACACAAATCTCAATCCACAACGCATAATCCTAACGCATAATAATACCGATAAAGCAATTCAAATATAACTAAGATCGTGAAGCAAATGAACAAAAAGAAACCCCACCTCGATAGAAAGACAAAGGTGACATTTTGAAAATTGTTTGGACACCAATGAATTAATTTCGGGTACATTCCCAAAGGATGAATGTAGGAGACAAGGTTGAAGTCAAATATGCGGGATTGAATTGTCAAAAAATCGTGTATATGTGAAGACCATCCCCACCCCTTTTTTTTAATAAAAGCCATGTCCTAAACCATGTCCTTATTTCAGTTCGATTGAATTACAAATTCAAGAGCAGTATTTGTAACCATAAAGATGTTAATTATATTACTTATTAACCTAGCTCATGTATAACCGAAATCGAGTCCTGTGACATGGATTATTCGAATTTTGAAGAAGTTGAGATTCTAAATAACGAAGAGATAAAGAAGAAAATTGAGACACAAACAAAGTATGTAGCATGATTAATTCGTAAAGCGTATGTAATTTTAAAGAAAATACCTGCGATTGGTTAATACAAATTAAGTTGGTATATTTTGGGTTGAACAATTTGCTATTTTGTATCCAGGAAAAAGTTCGATGAAGAAAAAGCCCTTCAATCATCGGTACAATGTACAAAAGATCCAACACAGTTTTGAATCTTAGCAGGGAATTTTTGCCTATTCTATTTCATACCGATTAAATTTTGAACTCCTGAAGTGCTTTGAATAAAACTGTTATCTTTACACTGAGGCTTGTGTGGTGGAAAAAAGAAAAACTAAAATTACTTCCTTCCTTAGTGTAGGGCAGACTGATTATATTTGAAAAACACAGTTCCGGGGCTAGAGTCTTCTACCTTCAAATACTTCAAATAATAAAGGCAACAAGTTGTTTTGCTTATTTGACACAATTCTCACAATATTTCCATTTAAGAGAAAAATAGTTTGGAATGTCACGGATTTTTCACAATTTTCCTAATATGATTACAATTATTTTTCACTCCAGAAGCTGTATATATGCATTAAAATTTCCAGAGAATTTCAATGTTTTCAAAATTAACTTTTTATACCCTCAGCCATATGGCTAGAGAGGATATCATATGATGCGGCCAAAACGTGCCTCATCGAAAAAACGGTTTTAGACACTAGGTCTCTTTGGACTAAATCCGTTTGAGGACATTTGGAGGCGATCTAGCGATGTCCGTCCGTTTGTCTGTCTCCCTGGCTGGTGCGCACGATAACTGTCGAAGAGAGTAACCGATTTGATCCAAGCTTGGTACATCGTAATATTATTGTCAAACTTTGATCGAGTTCGGAGGTGGGAAATATCGGTCCACTCCTTCTGGTACCTCCCCCACAAAATCTCAACATTGTCAAAAAAAATAATTTACTGCACAGAAAGAGAAATTATAATCCAATGTTGCTCCGATTTTACTCCAATTTTGCACATCCTAATATTTGCGTCAGTGCTAGGTCAGGTGCAATATCGGTCCACTCTATCAAGTACCTTCCTTCACAAAGAGTCAACATTTTCAATAATTGTAACTGTTATAAAATGTCATGTAAGTGTCCGATTGTCTCCAAATTACACACATCAAAATATTTATTTTATATCTGGTCTGGTATGAAGAAGGAATATATCGGTCTATTCCTTCTGGTACCTGCCCCACAAAGGGTCAACATTTTGAATATTCATGAAGCACATAAAACACGAATTTAACATCCGATTTCATTCAGACTTGACACATCTCAATATTTCCATCTAAACACAAAATCAGCTATAAAGATGGTGAAGATCGCACCATTTCTTGGGTTACCTCCCCACATAGGATTTTGAAAAACAAAATGCTCAAAGAAAGTGAAATAAGCATCCAACTCTCTTTGAATTTCACAAATACAAATATTTTTGCTAACGCAAGATCTGTTGTGAAGACGATATATATCTGTCAAACCGTTCTGGTGCCTCCCCACAAAGGGTCAGAATTTTTAAGTCGGCGATTCTTTACAATTTGCTATATCTAAATATATCTCTCTTTGGATTGGATATAAATGTTCGTTTGTTTTTGTAATTTTGGTCATACCAATATTTTTATCTGTATTAGATGAAGTATGAAAATGAAATACTTCGGTCCCCTATATTTGTCACATCACGCACATTTTTACATTTTCTAAAAATTATCACATATCTCATATAAAGTATAGGAAGTAGTGGATATAGTCTAAGTCTGGCACGCTGCTACATTTATATGAGTCTTTGGTCAGATACGAATTGGTCAATATTGGCCAACTGCTTTGGAACCTCCCCCATAAAGAGTCAACAGTTTGAATAATTATAAGTCACGACTGATACTATTTTACTTCATATTATTTCAAATAATACACACACAAACTATGTGTGTTTCGACATTTCAATAGTGAATGAGATAGGCTCTAAATATCCTATCGTTTGTTTCTATAAAAACGGCAGATTTTCCCGGGCCACTTATTTACAATTATTCCTTAAACCATTACCTCAGTATTCATAGTTTCTACAACTTAATAAATCTTTTTTATTTATGTTTTTTTTTAATCGTGTAAATATAGCAGCGAATTTTTTTTTTAACAAATTATGAACTTCTAAGAACGAAAATTAAAGTGGTTATGAAAACAGATATGAAACTCTCAATTACAAAATAATTTTGAATTTCTCTGCATAACCCTGCTTTGAACTTTATGTCCTAATAAAAATTCGACATATTTAATTACGTAAACAACGTCAATAAATTTAAAACCAAATTTAACATTTTTGTTTTTTTTTTCTCAGTTTTGCAATGGGAGCAGTTATAGAAAAGAGTGCTACTTTTACAAGCCATTCTGAGAAGAAAATTGAAAGTGACTCAAAACTGCTTCCTTCATATTCAAAGGAGATTCGAATAAGGTAAGTAGACTATCTGTGCTAAAAAAAACATTCTGCATAAATGATCATGCGGAAGTGACCGAAAATGTTTTCCTCTACCCATTTTACCTAGAGATGATGAACTTTTCGACTACAGCCAAATCTACGCACTTTCACGGAAGATGCTACATTCCATAACTAATTGTCCAAGGGAATGCCTACTGGAAAACCTTAACCAATGTCTTCGAATGCAGTCCAAATCAATGTTGAGGAGCTTTAATGAAGCGAATGAATGCTGGTACGGAATTATGGATTTGGTAACTGACCGTTTGAATTGCTCGGCAGAAAATGCGAGCATGGCTAGCTATCACGTCCCCAGTTCTAATTATGAAAATGTGAACATTTACATAAGTTCAAACGGCTCGAGTGGCTGTAATGAAACCAAACAGCAACTCCATCCCAACGCTGGCCAACACAACCACAAAGCTGACAACGTCGATGACGATGTTCATATTGGCGTTGATTTTATGTAACAATGAATCCGATAGATTCATTTGCTCACAACAACCTAATTCGCACTGGAAGGAACAAGAATCTCTCAGATACCATTAAATAAATCATAACGGTTGTTTATGCTAATGAAATGCCTACTCCGACCTCTCCACCTTCATTCTTACTTAATGGTACGAGAGCAGGCGCACATAGGGGTGACCACATTGGGGGGAAACTTGGTAAGTATTTGCAAGTCAAATCTGTGCCTGGCAATAACACTGTACAGTTGGTTAATGAGACGCCGGACAATATAAATTCACCAGCAGACATCTCTACTCAACACCGCACAACACAGCGCAATAATGGCATCACTCCCCGCCCTTCCACTCAGCACCGAGCATTTTCAATAAATTTCGTTTGTTGTGGTTGTCGACTGACTCTACGTATTTTGCCCTGTGGTCCGGCCAAACGCCCGCCCACTAATGCCAATATTCGGACGAGCGACGACTGTCATTATAATCACATAAAAGGCGGCTGGAGTGAAAAGGGACACTTTTTGTTTTCTCCATTATTATTATCTTTATTATTTTGTTTTCGTTCTGTTCGGAACGTTGGGCATAAAGAAGCAGGGAAAAATAAACAACTTCATAGAACCTAATAAAAATGTGTGTGGTTGTGAACGTGGAGAATGTTTTGTGGACATGGGCAGTGGTGATTATGACAGTGTCACTAGTTACGTTTTGATACATTGGGGAAAGTAGCTACGATACGATTGAAGTGAACAAATAAATGTCTTCATCCTGTATCTATCGGTCAAATTGGTTCAAGGGCACTTTAATTTTGGCTGGTGTTTTTCTTTCGCTATGAATTCCGAATCACAACACAAAAACAAGTTCTTCAATTGAAAAATGGATCTATTTTACATTTGTTGGCCATATTTGAGACTATGTCTACGAAATTTTAAACGGAATTAAAATAATTATGAATGTTTGTATCATCTACTTTTACCTGAGGGTTACTTACTCCTTCAAAGAAACTGCTGAGCAAATGTTACTAGAATAGTAACAAGGCAGATTAAATGTTAAACGACACATTGAACCAGTAAGGAAGAAAGACAAAAGTCGGGCGGTGCCGATTTTATGATACCCAACACCACTAAGACTATTTAGTATAGTCACGTGTAGCATATAAACATTCACATTGGAAACTTGAAATAGGCTAATCGATTTCCACTAAACTTGGCTGAAGTAAGTTTATGATGTATGTGACCTCTCGAACCAAATATCGTTGTATGATTCTCAGAATAGTTAAATATAAAATCGAATGAAGCTATTTTATTTGATCAAAAGTGGTGTCTTCGATGTATTATTTACATCAACTAAGAGGAAAATATATATGGAAGACATATCTAAATCTGAGCCGATCTCGACAAAACTTGGAAAAGTTATTATAACCCAACATCTTTCACCGGAAATCCTTGTTAAGGAGTTTATTATACGGATTTATATGGGAGCTATATCCGAATCTGAACCGATCTTGATAAAATTTGACAGAGGCATTTTTGAGCTTTATCTCATACCTAGTTGTAAATATCAAATATGTGGAGTTATATACTTATGTGGGGAACTTTAACACAAAATCGGATGAAATATATTTATGGGAGCTTTAGCTATATCTGAACCGATTCCGAAATTTAATACACTTTCTTCTTGGCTGAGTTAGGTCATATGTTCCAAAATCCATTCAATATGGACTGGTATTAAACATTTAGTGCACAATAAACGTGAAATCTGTTAAAGTTATATATGGGAGCCATATTCAAATCTGAACCGACCTCGATAAAATTTGGCAGAGATATTTCTGAGCTGTATCTGATATCTGGTAGCAAATATAACTGTTGTGAAGTGCATATTACGAATGTTGCGGACTTAAACCCTAAATCAGGGGAAACATATATATATATGGATGCTATAGCTATATCTGAATCGATTTTCACAAAATGTTCATTACCTTCTTCTGGGCTACATTCTATCGGATGTGCCGAATATCATTCCATTTGGCGAATAATTAATATAGTGAATAATAAAATTGAAATTGGATGGAAATATATATGGAAGCTATATCTAAGCCAGAGCCGATATTCTATAAAACCGCCAGACATACTTCAGGACTGAACCTGGCCGTTTATGCCAAAATTCATTTGATTCGGACAGACGGACGGACGGACAGACAGACGGACGACGTTCGTCCTTGGGTCAAACAAATGACTTTTGTATATTTAAACTCAATCAGACAATAAATTGCGACCTGTACTTTTTTACAAAAATACATGGACAGACGGACGGACGAACGGACATGCATAGATCGATTCAGAATGAGATTCTATGAAGATATGGGTCTATCTCGCTTCCTTTCCATCTGACAAACAAATGCACAAAGACATAATACCCTGTATCACAGTGTGGTGGCGGGTCTAAACAGAAATTTAGTTGTGGTTGCACGAGTTTAAATGAATAGTACCCCCAATTCTTATTTTGAGTCTCTCCGTCTGTCCATGTGTTCTGGTAGGTGTCATGTATTTTTGTACTCATCAGATGGAAATTAATTTTGGAGAAAATTAGATTGAGTTATAGCTTCTAATTTCGATATATTTATAACTGTTAGCTATAAATTTCTTCCGATTCCTCGCATTTCACAAAGCTTCAATACACACAATGAACATGTTGATACCCTTGTCAAATGCCCAAAGAAGTGTAGTCGACTAGTCGGCCTCGCTCGACTTTGATTCTTCATCAATCGATTAAGTCAAGATTTAAATAGGTATCTTGAACGTCATATTATAGAAAATTTTGTTTATAGACTTAGACAAGATTGCAAATGCAGTAAGTGCGATAAAACAGGATCGTATGCCCATAGTCCTAAATATTCGCCAACTTACAAGAAAGAGAGAGAGAGATACAATTATTCACAAATAAAACAAAAGTAAAATCCGATAGATCCATTTGCTCGCAACAACCTAATTCGCACTGGAAGGAACAAATATAAACGTATAATTCTAATGGCCATAAAAAGGTTGCAAGTCGCCTGTTTGCACAGTTAGATTTTGTTGAGCTGGTTCGGACCTTTGCGAAATTGCGATTGATTTCGTTGCCGACTCTTAAACTGACCATTTTGCGAAAGAATTGAGCTACACATATGTATGTATGCATGTGACATTTCAAATACACACATATGTCTGTGTCATAAGGCTGTGGATCGCTGACCTCATTTCCATCTTAATGCAATATTCATAGACTACTTTTGTCGGCGCTAAAATTCTTTCCTTCTGGTCACCGTTCTATGGATAACGATGATGACAGGTCAAACAGGTTCATTAGCTCAGATTTAATGCAAATGTCCCGTTTAATATGTTTACCCATGATGTCATGATTTGGTTAAATTGAGCAAAAGTGAATGCTAGTTCGGCATGTAACATATTTAATACATGTGTTACATACATATATACAAGTGTATGTGTATACATTTGTCCTTTCTCATTGACATGGCCATCTTTATTAAATAAGTTTCTTAACGAAGTGTGATGCCAATTGCGACGTTTAGTAAGTTGGAACATAGTTAGTCCCTCTCTGAAATATGGCTAGATTGGAACCAACAACGAGACTGCTTCGTACATATGAAGTAGTGAGTCTACGTGCTGGGAGAACTGCTCCCCCTCCTCTTCATATCTTATATCTCTTATGAAAACAATAAATTATATTAGTTTTTGTTATTACAATTTCTTGCAATATATCTTGTTGGGAGAGGAAGTCAAGAAACTTTACATAGAGAAACTGGGACATAGAGAACCCATTATGTCTGGAACCCTAAAACATGGCTTGAATAGATGATCCGTTGAATTGCATTTCGGTTCATCAGCACCAAGTGTTACCTCCGATGTCGTTGCTCCACTCCGTTTTTTGTATACATTCGTGGCACATTAATTTTCATTACTTGTTCTTTTGCGTTCTGTTCTGGCACAGCTTGCTGCGAAATGTTCCGCTAGAGCATCCGCTACACAGCTCAAACATGCTCACTTCCGGTGGCGAATTAACATCCGGTGCATATGTGGGCATGTAGGAGAGTAGTTGGAAGTTTGTAATTACAGTAAGCCAAGTCGCCTTAACTAAGTTCCTGTACTGTGGTGATAGAACGAACTACGAGAGGTCTGGATGTGCCGAATAAAATAAAGCGGAAGAAGAAAAACTTATTTTTTAGCCATGTCTGCACAATGAAGCGACTAAGAAACACATAAACTCTTTTTATGTACTTTTAACACCGCCCTTACAAGTCCTCCTTCTGCGCCGCACAGAAAGCTTCCAGTGTGGTACGTTTCCGTGGTGCTGCTTCTTTCACATAAAATGATAAATGATTGTGGCAGACGCTGCTCTATTCTTTGCGGAATGCACGAAAACTGGGTCACAACACGGATGATGGCTGGTGTAGCAACCAACCACTAAACTTTTGCTTTTAGTACCCTATTTTCATAACACATTCGGATATATTCACAGATACAGACGCGTATGTGTGTATCACACATTTGCTATGTTTCTCATAGGAACAGGTCACAGTGGGCCCCAATGAAATTCAATTACCTATTTCAAATGGTATCATAAAATCAGAAGGTACATTTGATCACTGCTCTGTTTACCGATGGTTATATCTACTTTACTTGTGCCGATTCGTTATGAATTGCAAACAATCGAATGGTCGCAAATAAGAAGACTCGCGGCGAAGTTGCTGAAACCTCAAAGATATCGATCGGTTCCTTCCAAATGCCCTGGAACGGATTTCGTCCAAAGACACCCACGGTCTGAAGCTGTTATTTCGATGAGGCTAATTTTGGCTGACGGAGGGTAATCGAACAAAGGATTACTCCTTAAAACCTTACAAGTCAAAATAACTTACTTTTTTCGTTACCAAGTAATGTGTAACATTGCCATACAGTGTTTGTTTTCGACTAACCATGGAGGTCGCTCAACTGAACAAAAATGATTTTTAACCTTTTTGTTGAATTGTTGTATCCAAAAACACCTCCTATTTCGAGTGACGTGCGCTTGTAAAAAAGTTTTTTTTTTATTAAAAGTTACGGCCACAATTCCGAATTATATCAAATTCAGTT